GGACAATAAGGACGTTCTTGCCCTTCAGCTCCTGATGGGGGTCCTGAAAGGAGAGCCCTGTTCTACGAACACCATCAGGCTGAGGAGGGGCTGGACCTTGCATGCTTTGGGGCTGCTCTGCCATCCCCCCAGGCCCAGGGGTGCAGGTCCCCCACTGATGCTCCTGGTACCAGGCAGGTCTTTGCTCTCCCTCACCTGCATGGGGCTCACATTGCCGGTCTCCTTCACACCATAGTGGTGTATGAAGACATCTCCCAGGGTCGTCGCCTCTGTGTTCCCCTCGACAGGGTCAGGAAGGAGAGCCCGGATTTCCTCAGCCTCCCACACACAAAAAGCTCCTTCTCGCTTCTCTCCGGATGCGGTGGTCGGGTAGGAATCTGCATCTTCTGCGCTGTAGAAACCTCCTGCCTGGGAAAAGGGTAAGAGGGACACTGGCTACCAGGACAGTACCTGCAGCCAGCTCCCCATCACCGCTGGGCTGTCAGTCCTGCCAGCGAGCTGCAGCACTGCGCCAGACTGAGCTCAGCTGTGAAGGGAGGGAGGGAAAAGCAGCCCCAAGCTACATCCCAGGGCAGGGTAGTGGCTCCTTTCGGCCCTGCTCAGGGAACAACCTACCTGGTCACTCAGGTCCCGTGAGACATAGAGTAGAATGTCTTGGGCAACATCAGCAAAGAATTCATCGCCAGAGATCTGCGGGAGGCCCAGGGTGTTACAAGGGGCAAGGAGGAGGCAAAAGGCACAGCAAGGTATAGTAAGAGATTCAGATTCAAAGAGCCCATGAAGGAGGGGAAACACATTTGAAAGCCCAGGGATTTTAAACGTAGGATGGATTCAGAGTAAGATCTCTGATGGAAATCTATGGGCACTGGAGAGCAACCCTGGAGTTACACCAACGTCGGGGGCAGCAGCACATGTTTGCTGACTTGCAAAGGCCAGCCAGAAGGCTGTTCCCTCCCCCGTTATGCTCAAAACCCTGGGGCTACACTGTCATGGATTTGTGCAACGTTCCTGGATGAACACCCGTAGACAAAGAGGAGTATGGGACCACTCCATGACCATAGGAAGGGCAACATCTTGGGGAACAGGCTTTGAAGCTGCTTCCCAGACCAAGCCAGCCCTCCCCAGCCAGCACTCAGCGTGCCGAGTGAGCCCCACTACAGAGGGATGCCACGGCCGTACCTGAAAGGCTCTGCTGTACGTAGCTGCCAGCTGCCCCTGGTCATACAGCATCTTCTCAAAGTGAGGGACGTGCCAGTACTGGTCGGTGGAGTAGCGGTGAAATCCCTGCAAAGACAGCGTGGACACATCTCCACCCCACCCCTCCAGCCCACACCTCCTGGGTGTGCCGGGGGTTTACCCCCAAGGCTTTCCTCCTACCTGACCGATGTGGTCATGGATGCCCCCATGGGCCATCATCTTGAGAGTATGCAGAGCCATCCGCAGTGCCTGGGCACCTTCTGGAGTTGTTCGGTGCAGGGCCCAGTACGTGAAGAGGAAATTCAAATTCACTGAAATAGAGAGAGAGAGTGGGAGGCTGTGGGGTGGGCTCTGCCCCTACGGCGCCGCGGGCCCCATGGTGGGGCTCAGCAACGGTGGCCAGACTGACCTGGGGTGGGGAACTTGGGGGATTTGGAAAAGCCACCGTAGTCCTCATCATAGGAGTTGGAGAGCTGCTGGAAACAGGTGGCCATCACCTCTTTGGATGGCGGGGCTGACTCCTGGCCCCGCACACAGATCTCAGAGCTGAGTAGCAATGCTTCCAGGATCTTCTGGCTCTTCTTCAACAGGGCATCTCTGTTCTCCTTCCACTAAGATGCAGCGCAAGAAAGTAATTTCTTCCATTATTTGTCTTTCTTTCGGCTTCCTGCATTGCACCAGTCTAAACTGCACCTTCAGGTCTCGGTCCCCCTCCCCACATCAGTTCAAATCCACCTCTAGCCCAGCCAGAGCTCTGATGTGTTCTCTGGACTACTGTTTCTCAGGACTGCATCTCTTAACTCAGTCGTCCAACAAGCCCAGACCAATTTCCCTGTGGCCCCTTTGGTTAAGCCTTCCTGCTCCGTACCTGCTCTGCAATTCGGAGCAGCACAGTCCGAAAGCCAACACGATGAACTCCATCTTCAGGAGGGAAGTATGTCCCTCCTACAAAGGGCTTGAGGTCTGGAGTCAGCCAGACACTCATCGGCCAGCCACCACCACCACTGGTTGCCTGAAAGACAAATCACGAGTGCAAAAGGCACCCTCTGCTCTGTACCCCTCCGGCACATCCGAGTGTCTCACTCGAGGACAGGCATGTGGACCTCTCCACCCCTGTGATCATGCATGGCCCCATTCAGACCATCCCCACATACTGGTTCTTCTTGCCTGAAGAACACGACCAGGCACCTCATCTCAAGAGAGCCAGTCCAAGCCTCTCACGCCCTGCCCGTGCTGTCCTTACCTGCACGAAGGTCATGTACACTTTGTCCACATCTGGCCGCTCCTCACGATCCACTTTGATGCACACAAAGTTCTTGTTCATAATCTCCCCAATCTCCTTGTTCTTGAAGGACTCCTCCTCCATCACATGGCACCAGTGGCAGGTGGAATAGCCAACTGAAAACAAGCCCAGGAGAGTGAGGAAAGGCCCTCTGAAGGAGCAGGACACGTGTTTTGGGGAGATCGCTCAGAGGTGGGGAACCCTGCTGTGGGCAACACCTGCTGCCCTCCTAGAGGAGAGCTGGAGGAGAATGGCCTCCTGCAAGCATGGAGGCTTGTAGGGCCTCCTGGGCTCTCCAGCTCTTGCTCCTAAAATCTGGCCACGGACTCTGGTCCTTGATGCAGCCCATCTTCAGCATGAGCTATTAAAGCACGTGGCCCTCTCTCGCTAGCAGAGAATACGTGCTCCCTGTCCGTCCTTACCCACGTAGCTACTCACACACCAGCTCAGGACGCAGCCCGGCTTATCTGGTCATCTACTGAACAACAGGTGGGAACATGAAATATGTCTTGTTTCTGGTTACCTGACAGGAATATCAGCTTGTTTTCTTTCTTTGCTTTATCAAAGGCTTCCTGACCCCAAGGGTACCTGCGGAGGGAATACAAGAAAGGAGCTTCAGGGGTCACCGCTGCTGGGACTCAGGCTCCTCTAAAGCTGCTTGAGAAGCTGCTGTCTGGTGGAGAGGGGCCAGGACAGCCGGGGGCACGGCTGGCTCAGGAGCACGGACCCCGAGCCCACAGGGAGCTGCACAGGAGGCCAGGCTGCTTTCGCCTGCCATCGCTTCCACGGCAGCGAGTCCCTCAGCCCCACGGAGGCAAGGAGAGGAGGAGGGGGAAAAGCACCGGTTGCTCTTACCAATCCACGGGGTTGTGAGCGTGCTGCAGGAGGTAGGGGGACTTCTCGTTAATCAGGCGGTTGGTGTAACGAGGGACCCTGGGGGGGCTGGTTGTCCCCCCCGTGGCCATGGTCACGCTCCCCGTTAGAAAGGTACACCTGCGATGCCAAACAGGCTCATCATTTCCTCGCTCGCCACAGCAAAGCAGAGCCCCTGGAGAGAGCCACGATGCCCCAACCAGCACCACCTTCACCCCGGCTCCTGCGGATGCCCAGCGCGGCCCCGGGACAGGGCACTGCTCCCCACTTGTCATTCCCTGTGCCAGGGGAACCACTCTCAGCCCTGGGGCTGGGCAGCTCTGCTGGGGCTCAGTCCACCTCCATCCCCTCCCAGGACCCCACAAAGTTCTCCCCACTTGCCGGAGGCTCAGGCGAGGTTGTCCTCCTCCGGCTGGGCACAGGCATGGCCCGAGGACCAGGGCTCCCTCCCCTCCAGCCCCCAGCCCACCACCAGCACCCTTTGGGGGCACAGTCACCCGACAGCCGTGGGTAAGGGA